AGTTGCCACAGCTCTGCTAATTACTTTGTAGAAGCCCCAGGAGCTCTAGAAATAAAAGTTAATAGGCTAAAAGGATGTTGCAGTTAAGTCCAACTGAATATTTTTAATTGCTACCATAAATTCAGAAATAAATTTTAACATCTGAAATCCATGGAGTCCTTCCTGTTTAAAGCCTATGGTAACATATGAATGGTGTGATAGGAGTGGTGGGAAATGAGCTCCCAGCCAGGTCCAGTGAAATCAGAAGCGTTTGAATGCAGGGCGTCCTGCCTCTGCAATGCTTCACTGGGAGCTCCCAGGAGCAGTGTGACTCTGGGCCCTGCTCCCAAGAGGAAAGGTGGCCTGGGTGGCTCCCTCCTGGCCAGCTCATTCTTACAGTGCCAGGATGCTTCAGGAAAACAGCAGCAAGAGTTCTGTGACACTGCTCTTGTGGACACCCCAAAGTAACTAGCAGAGAAAAATTAACACTTTTTGCTCATGCACACCAGCTCACACAATGAGACTCAGTGACTGTCCTCTAGGTGCTACTGCAGCATAAAAAAATACAACTGTGTATTTTACTAATAACTAGGCATTGTTTCAGTTATTGTATAGTAGCACTATATAGTGTTGTTAATTATCTTTACTGCCACTGAAGCTGTAGCAATACAGGCAGAAACGCCAGGCAAGAATTACTTCTATATGGTGCAAGGTTGCACTGATTGCTTCATTTGTTTCTGTATCTCCTGCACTGTGCTGAGGCTTGCCCAGAGGAGCACTATGTTTGTCATCAGAACAGCCCAAACCTTCTGGTACAGAAGTGCTTTCAAAAAGGTGGTCAGCATTTGCTGATACCTAACACAGGGACTGTATAAAGAGCCTTGTTATATCTGCACCAGGTCTGTTAGATTGGTTCTGTTTTGATTAACAAAATCAAATCGGTGCTAATAAGAGGAGGAAACCTGCCAGCTTCTCTTCTGGCAAGCTGGTGCCAATCCCAGACTCATCCACCATGTGTTCAAAAACTGACACACGAGGAGGGCCAGTTCACCTGGCTTTGCTCTTCCTTCTGCTCAGCACATTGACTCCTCCCCAAATGGCTGGAAGTGTCTTTTGAAACTCAGGATGACTGGGGCAGGTGGCTTAGTGAGATTTACTCTGCAAGCAAATAAATGAGGTAGAAACTTATCCCCTGGCACTGTACTTAACCCATGCCCAACAGGTCACTTCCCTCCAGTAAAGGGAAATGAACACGGCCACTAACCCAGCAGCCCTGCCTTAGCTTGCTAGACAGCCTCTGGCAATCCCCATTCTCCTTCTGCTCTGTTTTCTGATATGCAAAATAGGAGGCAAACACTGATTTGCTGAGCAAGATGCTCTGATCTCTCAGAACTCGTAGCAGGGAGCATAAAAATGTGTTAAATCCATGTACCTGCCAGGGAGCTGGACATGTTTGGTCTCAAGCCTGAGATCAGCCTCCACGATGCTATTGCAGAGCGGAGGCATCTTCAGAATAACTTTGTTCTGAAGTTATATATATATAGATATATTCTGAAATTAGGTACTCCCAGGTGGGAGCATTGCAGGGAGTGGAACAGTCCTGGGCAGACTCCTGGCATTTACTGCAGTCACTGCTCTTCAGGCCTGCCTTCCCCTGGTGTGTCTCGTTCCTTTCTAGGAGATGGTGTTTGGAGGCTTTCTCTTTGATGTTGATCCTGTGGACAGGCAGGGTTTGCCATGGTGGCATTTTGGGGCTGTGGTACCCAGCTGTCTGCATGAATAAAGCAGCAGCTGAGGTTTTTACCAGCCTGTCCTCTTGCAAAGGGAAGTTCCAACAGATCACCTCAGTGGGTCAGTGGTCACTTGGCTGGATGTGTGGCTGTCCCAGCTGTGGTCCTTGGGACACAGAGCTGCTTGCTCCACTGCAGGGAGCTCAGGTGAGTGTGTCACTGCTTCTCTGTCTGCAGGAGCTCTGGCCCTGCAGCTCCTGCCACCTTGCCTGGGCTTTGTACAGGGAGTGTCATCAGACTGGCCTTAACCACCAACAATATCTTTATTCCCCTTTAGGCACACTTGACTACCACACCACCAGTCTTGAGAGCATTAGTGGTGCAGATTTCCATCACTTTTCCTCAGAGAGGATGTGCTCTCCACTCCTAAACTGGTGCTCAATAGCTCACTGCATTTCACTGGTACCTTTTCACACTGTTCTCTTTTCCCACTTCTCCTGACTGCGTTCCTTACAGAGTCTTAACCAAACAAACCAAGCAAAAGGCAACCCTGAGATTACTCCAGAGGACCCGATGAAACACAAGTTAGTATTTATAAGAACATTGTTTTTTTAACTCTGTTTGTTTTCCCTGCAAAGCAGAGAGCTGTAACTTACTTTGCTCCCGAGTGGATGCTAACACAAGGCAGTACATTTGTTTATTGTTACACAGGTTTGTTCTGGTAGGGCTGTGAGGCTATCAAATGGAGCTTACTGTTCATAAATGGTAATTCATCCTTTGCCTCTGCCATACATGACACCCCTGAGAAGAAATCATTATTCTCTGAAGATTTCAAATGACATTTTCAGTGTCGATGGATAGTACTTATATAAGAGAAATGTTTGCAAAGGGAGGGAAAGAAAATAAAAAATAGTTCTGGTTTTCCATTTGGAACTCTTAGAACTGACTACATTCATGTAACCAGTATAATTTGCTTTGCCAAAATAAATAATGCTAGTGAGAAACCCTGTGCAGTACCTGTAAATGCAGAGGGCAGGTACATTCATGTTGCTGTAAAGCACAGAAAACGTGTTATATTTGACAAAAACATGCAAAACAAATGGTTGAGTTCTTACCTGTTTTCACCCCATACAAAAGGCAGATGAACACAACACACAGCCTCAGCATATGGACTTCCACATGGAACTTCTATGGGTAGGAGATTTGAAGGATCTCACAATTTCTCTGGCATGTGTCTGCTGGCTCTGACAGCAGTTTGCTTGCTTTTTTTTCTGCCAGTAACAGTAGGTGTGGTGAAAGGAGGAAGTTACCAGCCAAGAAATGAAGACCAGTGAAATGAAGCTTCTTCATAAGAAGGTGGGGCACCTTCTATTCTAGCAGGTTTCATTAATTTAAATATAGTTTGCCTTGGGGGATGATGAATCAAAGACACAAATGGGTTGGTAGCTATAAGCAGCAATTTGATTACACCTGTTGAAACTAAGGAAATTATTGCCTATTTGTCTTTTGCAAAGAGTGTCAGGAAGATTGCGGATGTCACTGCAAGTCTGATAAGCATCTGGGTGGGGCTGGTGCTTGGTTTCACAGGGCCCTGCCTTTGGAGATGTCATGATGATCCCAATATCTCCCATGTCCTTCCTGTTCTCCTGAGTGCCATGGCCCAGAGTCCCTCTACAAACCCTGTCACCACCTCAGGCAGGAGACAGGTGCACAGCACTGTGTTGTGACAAAGGGACAGTACCACTTCAAAGGGTCTGGCTCTCCACTGGGCTCCCAAGCAACTGCAGTCTTGGATAACACTCATACAACTGGCATTCCCACATTTTCTCACAGACCTCCTGGAACCTCAGAAATTCAGCTCTAATTCAAGTAAGGAAGGCTTTTTTTTGCTGGATGGGAGGAAGGAGATTGTCAAGGAAAGACAACTATCAGGGGCAGGAAAGGAAGTCTGATATTGGAGCTGGAAGGTATAATGGCAAAATTGGGAAAACGAGGGTGGTGGGGAGTTTGTAAAGGGATGAGAAGGGAGGGAGCAGGGATGGCTGCTGGATAGAAGTAGGGTGGTTGTTTTGCTTGGTGTTTCCTTAGCAAATTCTTCTAACATAGGCCAGGGAAAGGGAACGTGGGGAGGATTAGAAATACCTCATTAAGCCCAGGCTCTGCTTTCTTTCCCTTGGTGATGATCCAATGAGGAGCTGAACTATAAGAGCTCCCAGTGGCATAGCTGGTTCTTTGGTCCATGCTGTACTTATTAAGCTTTCTGACTTTGCTAATTCTCAGGTTAATCCTTAACTCTTCCTGCTGTCTGCAGCTCCTTTTCCTTCAGACAAGTGTGTGCTGCTCCTCTGATGCAAGCATGAATCACACTTGAGGCAGAGCATGTGTCTAGCATGATTCTTTCACAAGCACCTTGAGCTCTTCAACCTCAAGCAGCTCAGCAATCTGAGTCTCACTGAACATGTACCATGCTGTGATCCCATTTGATAATCACCCAGGCAAAAGTTGGGGCTTGTTATTTTGAAGATGATAAACTCTGAAAAAAGACACCAAATAACATTTGTGGATCTGGAAGCTCCAGGACAGTGCTTCTTCTGCTGCACTGACAAAAGAATAACATTTAAACATTGTTTTCCTTCCAGCTCCTTTCTCACCTCTACCAGTAATCCTAAACTCTGTCAAAATATTTTCCCTTAGCAAGAAGTTCTGCCAATGGTGAGAGGGAATTGGTCCAACAGTGAAACATGAAGAACAGAAGGCTTTTACCTGTTGCAAAAGGCATCTGAGAATCAGAGATAAAATAAGGTCCTTGAGGGCTTTGCCTTTATCTCAACACAAAAAGAGGTACCAATTTGTTGCCTGAAGCTAAGCCCTCCTCATTTCTTTTCCCCATCACTTTTTTTTAATTTTAATTTCCCATCTGAGGTTGCTCATCCGAGTGGCTCACACATCAAGAGGCCCTGCAGTGGGACAGGCAGGTTCTTCCTTGGAACATCATGATTTTGAGTAACCACCATTTCAGCATAGATTAGACTGTCTGTTCACTGTACACATTGGCAAACATTCCCAGGATGTCAGCACTGGAAATGCTGTCCACCACCACCATCAGATCCTGAGAGCAGGAATTCAAGTGCTTACAGGTTACTCCCTGCTCTTGATTCTGCTGCCCAACCTTTCACACCTGCCCCACACATCCTGCCTCAGCCACACACTTGTTAAAGATGGCAGCAACTCACAGCTATTTGGGTTTTGTGCACTGAACTCTAGACAATAATCCCACTGTGAGCTTTGAAATCAATTGCAATTTGAGACAGTAAAAACTTTTTAATCATGTGTCGAAAACATTTAAGATTGGAATTGGCACCAACTTAAGAACAAGTTAACAGAAAACATGAAATAATCTTATAAGCATGGAACATTTTGCACTTGGCTCTGAGATGTCAGAGCCTCTGCTATTTCACATTCAAGAAAGAAGCATTTTAAACTCTTCATTGTGAGCACAACCACTGTTGGAATCTGAAAGTTTCCAGAATGTTGTTTCCTCCTTAGGGCAGCTTATGACAGCAATGGTCAGCCAAAAAGTATTTTTATGTTGCATTTATGCATCCACTGTGTGAAATCCCTCTGATTCACTAATTTCCCGTGGGTGGAACGTTTTCATGGAGATACTGGAGAGCCAAATCTGTCCACTTCATTTCTTGCTCTTTCACAGACTCAGTGGTGCCACCGTTGTCTTGCTCTGGTTCAGGGAGCTCATTCTGAGAAGAAAGCACAGGTAGAATGGATTCCAGATGTAATACCCTTCCTGCAAGCAGCAGGTTGTTATGATTTGTATGGATAGATACAAAACCCCACAAACGAGACCAGAGGGTACATCTGAACAATAAATATCATACATACTGATCCACTTAAAAATATTGCTGAGCCCCATCATGAACAGTATTCTTTTCATTTGAATGTGGTGCTTAATCTGAAAGGTAAATTGTTTTCTAGGACCCTGGGGCCTTGCTATACACTCAGACTGCACACACAGTGAGGGAGAATGTACAGCAAATGCAAAGTAAGTAAATAACAGTACAATGCAATTATTCCATTGTTTGTTTGCAATGTGCTGCTTCTGCTGTTGCCAAGAATACAAATACTGCAGACAACTGGTTCTGTAAAATGTTACTTTCCTATGGCAGGTGACAAGTCCTTCCTGTCTGCATGCAGGACTCAGGTGTAGCTGTGCTGGATCAACAGCAGAAGCCAGAACCTCCTGCCAGGTGTGCCACAGAGCTGCTCACAGCACAGTAAGGGGAAGGAAAGTTTAACTGAGATTTCATTTTCCTTCCTTTTATTATTTGTTCTCTGTCTTGCTGTATTGGTGTAGTCACACTGAGTGTGTGCTATTCTGCCAGATACCATTTGGGCAGGAATTCAGAGTTCTAGATCTCTGGAAATGCCAGCATGAGCTAAATAAAATGTTTCAGCTTTGAAAACAATGAATGATTCAAACCCATTTGAGTTCCCAGAAATGTCTTGAGTGAGCACTGGAGCAGACTCTCAGGACAGGCTCAAATACCACTTTCACAGCCATTCTGGTTGCTCCTTTGCAATGTCCCTGAGTAAGTCCCCTGTGAATCCATGCTGGTTTTCTATGTGATCAGAGCCAATCCCATCTCTGGGGATCTTTATATCTACAGCCAGGCATTTCTTTCCATTGGTAGTTGGTGAGGCTTGCTTTTCTGAGGCTGTTGTCTGTGTGTGACTGTAAGCCATCACAGGATGGCTCTAAGGGAACAAACAGTAATGTTTGGACTCAGGGTGAAGGCACTTGTCAACAAGGAACCTGTTTATGATACTCAGCTTGCCTAATAAAGGTATCCCAAGCAAAGGAGGGTTTGGGCTGTTTTAGCTGAGAATTATGCTTCTGCAAGATGCTTCCCTCAAGCCCAAATCTTGGCAGGAAAATGTGTGCTGGACATATGGATTTTGAGTTGGCCAGCTGCTCCTTGCTCTCTCTGAAAAACCAGTGGTGGTAGGGCTAAGGCTTGAACCACATCACAAATTTGGAAATATCTCTCTACTGCAAGAAACCAGCACCCCACAATCTCCATGGCTCCTTTATCTGTGCTAGCTGGGGCAAAGCTCGTGTACCAGAGAGAAAAAGGGAACAGAAAGTGCTCAGCTATGTCTAACTTCCCTGGAAATTTCAAAATAGCCAAGGAAAGGTGTCAGTGTGGGAGATCTGAAGCTTCAGCTCTGGGCTCTGTAGGATCAGCAGTAGCTCTTCCCCTGCTGCCTCTCTCCAGCCTTGCAGCTGGATGAAAAGAGAGGTACAATGCCTTGGGCACAGCACCACGGGCAAGAGTCCTGCTGCTGCCAGTCCTTCACTGCTGTCCTGGAACTGCCAACAGCAACACTGTATCTGGGAAAGACTGCTTTGAAACATGTATGAAAATGTCTCAGCTTCTTTTAATGGCATTGCAGGAAGTGGAAATAAAGTGTAACCAAGACTGGAACTGTCAGTGTGAGACTGATCCTCTGCTCCCCAAACCAACCGGGAAAGTACCTCAAACACCAAGAACAAAAAAGGGATGCAGAGAGAAAGGATGATTTTAGTTCTCCCTGATGCTAAACCCAGGACAGTGCAATGGGAAGGGCACTACAGTTCTGAGAAGATTCAGCAGCTGCTCAGGGGACAAGGGACAGAAGCATCCATGTCCTCATGCACTCAGGAATGACTGGCATAAAGGGCAAGGAAGGAATCAGACCCAGGAGCCTCTTGTACAAATTAGCTGCACCACGAGCAACACTGTGTGCCTTTTCTTGGAAGGGACTATGATGAAAGCAGCAGCCTTAACTCAGATTGATAAGTAGCAATTCACCTACCAGAGGGATGGCCACGTCCTCGTAGGGCAATTTATCTTCCCTCCATGCATCATCGATCAGATCCAGGATCCTGCCATCCCTCTGCACCTCGCTGTCCATCCTCACAGCATGGGGGGGAGAGCAGCTAAATCTGTGACACAAAGCAGATGCTGTTTTAACAACATCCCCAGCCAAGGAGCTGCAGTCTGGACCATGCTCCAGTTTTGATGCAATCCATATGAAGTTTAAACTTAAAAGGAGTACTTTGATTTCCCTAATCCACTCAAAAAGGGGTTATAACCACAGAGAACAACTTCATCTGAAAAGAACTCTATCAGAGTGAATTGCAGATTGATATGCATCAGAGATGAATTTATAAAACCGTGTGGTTATTATTGATTATATTTACACATGTTTATATCTACTGACTGACTTTTAGATGTCTAATTTGAGTGAATCTGAGCACCTAGAACTGCTCAGGACCCTTTGCTGACTGCTGGCTTACGCCCCCTGACCAGTGCCGTGCCTTACCGACTCCTTCACATGTCTGAGAGTCACAACAAAGGACTTGAAGGTACCCAGAATTATGCCTCAACGTCCGGGAAACCGGTGAAACAGAAGCAAAACGAGACCTGTCTTTCACCCCCAGCTCCTACAATTACTCCAAAGTGTTTCATTGTACTCTGCCCTCCTGGAAGGGCCACCCCAGGCCCTCGCCCCGGTGTGATCCTGCGGGGCAGCAGCAGCAGGCGGCTCGATCCTGGCGGGCATGATGGGAGAACTGACACTCGCCAGGCCTGCACTCGCGGGCTGCCGGAGCCGCGATGAGGGCGGCGATGGGCACGGGGCTGAGCGCATCCCAGCCGCGGCGCGCTGCGATCCCTGTGTCTCCCGGCCACCGCGGCTCCGTGTCCCCCCGGTGTCCCCCCGGTGTCCCCGCGCTCCGCTGCCCGCCCTACCCTGCCCATCTCCGGGGCCGGCGCTGCGCAGGCGCTGCTCCAGCGCATGCTCAACGCTGCCGCCGCGGGGCCGGGCCGTGCCCGCCGCCAGGGTGGGAAAGGCGGGAAGGAGGAAGGGAAGGAAGGAAGGAGGTCAGGCAGGAAGGAAGGAAACAAGCAAGGAAGAGAGGAGGGCGGTCGGCCAGCAGCCAGCCAGAGCTGGGGTGTCAGGCAGCCCGGAGCGGAGCTCGGCCCGGGGGCTCGGGGCTGCTCTCGGGGCGCGGCGCTGGAAGGGCCCCGGGCAGGTGCGGGCAGGCGCTGGAAGGGCTCGGCCGGGAGCGGCTCGGCACGGCGGGAGTGGGGAACGCCTGCCGGAGGCGGCTCCGGGGGCTGGGGCGGGGAGCACTGCCCAGGCACGCTGGCCCCGGCCCCTTCACAGACGTAAGCTGCACAGGGCAGGCTTGGTTGGACACCAGGAGGAATTCCTTCACAGAAGGGGTGATTAGGTACTGGAAGGGCCTGCCCCGGGCAGCGGTGGTGGCGTCCCCATCCCTAGAGATGTTTAGGAAAAGACTGGACGCGGCACTCATTGCGCTGGGCTGCGTGACAAAGTGGGGATCGGTCACAGATTGGACCTGATGGTCTCAGAGCACTTTTCCAAGCTCAGTGGCTCTGGGATTCTCGCCCTGCGAGGGGCGGTTCGCTCCGGGCTCCTGCCGCAGGTGCCATTCCTGCCGCTGGCAAGTGGAGCTCGCCTGTGGTATTGCCTGTGGGAGGTTGCCGCTCCTGTTGTGTTCATTGGAAGCGTGCTTCCAGCAGCGCTTGGAGATCGCATCTTTCTGTGTTTTTAAATGAGAACTAATCCCAGTCTTGTCTCATGGGCACCATTCTTAAGTCCTCCTGCGTATTGTAAAGTTCTCTCCACTTAACTCTGCTACAATTCTGTCTTGAGCTGGGATGTTAAACCTTGTTTATTTTTAAATGTGTTGTCTTGTTTTGGGCTTTTTTTTTTTTTTGCAAATACTTCAATTTTCTTCACTTTCAGAAGTGACCAGTCAGCTCTCCTTCCTCTGCTGTAGTTGATGAAGAAGACTGTTTCCTCTTGTGGGTCTTTACTCAGGTGCCTGTAACTTGCACATTGCAACTTGCAAACAGGAGAGGCCAAAATTTAATACTAAGTCAGCAAACCTTATGTAGCATAAAACTGGCTAGAGGTGTCTGAATTTAAGGCTTTTCCCCAAAATCTGGGTATTCCAGCAAAGTTAGCAAAGCTGGCAGGCTGTGAGGGTGGTAAGGCAGAGGCACAGAGCTGTCCCTTCCATGGAAGTGTCCAAGGCCAGGTGGGACAGGGCTTGGAGCAAGCTGGGCTAGTGAAAGGTCCCCTGCCCATGGCAGGGGTTTGGCATTAGATGGCTTTAAGGTCCCTTCCAGCCCAAACTGTTCTGGAATTCTATGCTGTCTGTCTCCTCATCTCTCTGCCCACTGCAAATTGATTCTGTGTAGGTGTGATTAGAATGAAAGAGGAGAGCTGCTACTGTCTAATGTCTGCTGTTGCCACCTGGAGAGCTCTTGGAATGCTGTCAGCAGCTCAGGGGATCTGCTCATCTGCTCTTCTCAGCACCCTGCCCTCAGCAGAACCACGAGGTTGTTCTGCATACTGATTGAGTTTTGCTAAGCACAAACAGGACCAAAGACAGACAAAACACTGTCAGAATAGGTACAGGATTTTCTTCTGTGCATTTTTTATATGCTTGTAGTTTAAAACACAGCTCCCAAGGACAGGTTTTAATCCATGAATTGTGTTTTAAAGTGCTGTAGGAGCACGATAGAAGATTCTTTGGGAAAGAGAGCAAAGCTGACCCTGCATTTGTGAGTCTCCCTTGCTGTGACCTGCTCCCCTTTTGCTGATTGCTTAATGATGCCATATTAATCTTAGAGGAAAGATGGTAGAAGGATCCATCTTCAGTACTTGGAAAGTGTGTAGATTTTGGAAACAGAAGTTTGTGTTAATAGCTCTGGACAAGTTTAACCATTTTTGTGTTAGATGCAGTTTCATGAAGGAGGCATTGAAATAAATTCCTGCTTCATGGCAACTTCTAATTCCCCATTTTTGATTTTAATGTAAACCCATCTCACTTTCACCAAGATGTGAAATTTATTTGAGTATGCATGTGTTTGTTACTTAAATTGTATAATTTATAACTGAAGCAATGTACTGCTACTGTAAAGCTGTCCAACTTATTTTCATAATTTAAGGCATAATTTAAGAGGAAATTTTAAGGAGTTTGTGTTTTCTTAATACAACCGTATGAACAACCAGTGTGTTCTTAGGCTGCTGATAACCTGGCATGGTCTCTTTAGCTTAGTCTATAACAGAGGCCTGGAAAATGTGTAATTTATGGATGAATTCTCACTGCTGCTCTCTGGTGTTTTCTCTCTGAAGTGACAAACTTCCCTGTCAGAGGTGGATCTCGGTCTGGCCCCTTTGGAGCCTGAATGTTCCTATTTCTCCACAGGCTGGTGCTCCCAGGAGATCTACCAGTCCCTCTGTGTTGAGTTCACACAAGTGCAGATTCTCATTGCTCCTCTCTGAATTTATTAGATCACCTGTTATATCACTGCAATTTGGTAGTGCTGGATGATAGCATTGACTATACTTTTTTGGTAGAAAAATCTGTTTTCCTCTATTTGGCTGTAAGTTCATGAAGGTGCCATTGTTTTCCTCACCTATAATTGCATGCTCCTTGTATGTTTTTTGACTTCTCTGCTTTGTGTGCTTCCACTTTTCCTGCAGCTGGATGGAGAAGCAGCCTGGTTTGTGCATTGCCATGGGTGACCACTGCTTTCCTGTACTTCCCTAGTACTGAAGCCACCAGGATTCAGTGATGGAGGCTTTGCTGGAAGGAATGCAAAGAGGTGGGCGGGGAAGGTATGTATGCAACTGTACACAGCAGTCATTCCAAATGATTTAGGTATTAACCTTGCCTTTTACTCAGAATAAATCCTCTGGTGTAAGTGTGCAGTGGCCTTCAGCTGCTGCAGAAGTGAAGTCACTGGGGGAGCTGGCTCTGCACTAATCCCTGCTTATAGTCTTAATTGTCAGAAATTTAATTGTACATCTTCCTGAAACCTCAGCCTCTTTTTTCTCAGTTGTTATTATAAACTGTTCTTACTGTCCAACATCAGGAGCAGTAGTAAATAGAGTTGAGAATAAATATTTATTTTGTAACAGCCTTGCAAGGTTAATGAGATGTGACTTTGTTATCTGATTTCACTGAAAACATCTGATTATTTCCTGCTTGTGTTGAAACTGCAGAGTCCCACTCAGCTCTGAGTGAATCCATAATGCTCTGTCTGAGGTGAGAGTCTCTAGACTTTTCAATCCCCGAGAGAGACTGTAGTGACAATAACAGAACAAAATGCTTTATGTGTTAAACAACCGTGAAGCAAAAGTCACTGGTGCCATTTTCCTAGTCATCCTTGAGAATGTGACACAAATTTATTTGATACTGTATCTTCTGTACAGAGCTGGTTGCAGAAATCGAGTTTAGAATTTGCTACATATTAGCAGATGCTGTGAAGGAAATGTTCCTGCTCTGCATAATAGCTGCTAATTTTTGGTTAACTCACAGGACAGGGTGAACTTCAAATGTGACTGATTTTGGCTCCTTTAAGAAGTATTTCTTTTCCTATAGAAAAAGTGCCAAGTAATGAAGTGTGCATATGCCCTGGGGGAACAGAGAAATTTCCATCCCTTAACCTATTGATTTCCATTTCTTTTCAGTTCTTCCCTTTGACAGGCAAATTAAAGGGGTAGAGATCATTACGGAGTTCACCACCCTCTAGGGCTATGTCTGGCAAACCTTAATATTGTCCCTGTCTTGGCAGCTGGGAAGTTTTAGAGGAGTTACTTGAATTGGCTTCAATAATTACTGCACCAAATTAGAAATCTGGGCATCGCTAGGGAGCTTGTGCTCCCCAATGGATTGTGAGGGTTTGATTCTTCATTATCATGTTGTCATCCAGCCCCCTCTGCTACAGGGTTTGTCTGCATTTGTGATAAACTTCTGGTTTTGGGAGCTCATAGCTTGGCTGTAAGATTCCTCTGGTGACTGAAACCTGCTATAAAATGCCACTGCCTGGAGAGCAGTTAAGGCAATACAAAATATGAATTAAACACACTTTGGTTTACTTACATCATGCCTAGTACCCAAGGCAAAAGGCTGAATGCCCAAGTGTGAAGTGATGTGGTTTAGTGAGAATGGATGGTATTGGGTAAAATGTTGGACTTGATGATCTTGAAGGTCTTTTCTGACCTTAATGATTCTGTGATTCTCTTCTGTGTGAGCTCATTTGAAGAGAGTTCAAAGCACTGTGTGTGCGGAGTTGGTGCCTTGGGGACAGTCAGTTCTGCTGCCTTTGTTGGTTTGGGACACTGGACATGTTGGGTGGGACCAGCTTTAACTCCAGGCTCTCTCCCCTCCAGTGGTGGGTTCCTGACCTCCTGTGAGGCCGAGCTGCAGGAGCTGATGAAGCAGATTGACATTATGGTGGCTCACAAGAAATCCGAATGGGAAGGGCAGACACAGGCTTTGGAAGCTTGTCTGAGTGCTCGGGAGCAGGAACTTTCCTCTGCCAAGGCAGCTCTGCAGGAAAAACAAAAGGAGGTACCTTTTGTTGTTTGTTTCATTACTGTTTTTTGGTTGGAGTCAGCAGTGTGTTTTACCTGTTAGAATCAGGAAATCAGGAATAGAATTTTTAAAGGACCTGTTGGAACAAGGTGTCTGGTTCATAACTCAATCCAAGTCAAGTGATCCACTCCCCTAGGGTTGGTGGAAGTCCACATGTTGAACTGTTAGAGTTATTAGAGAGAGCCCAGGGGCACTGGTTCTGGCTACAGCTGTAATGGACAGCCCAGCAACCTGCAGTCATTGGTAGACAAAACCCATTTCCTACTATATAAACTACACCAAGAAAACCATTTCCTACTATGAACTACACCGAGATATTGCTGGGAAACTCTCCATGGGCTTTTTTACAGAGCTCTGGTTTTGTGATCTTTAAATGAAAGCCTGAGGGAAGTGCAAAAAAAAAATAAATCTGTATTG